CCACACCGCCCCTGGTCGAGCAGGCGCGTTACCATTGGCGAAGCGGTTCCATAACATGTGGTTCTAGGATCGGCCCTCGCGGAGGAATGTCTTAAAAATGATAATCCAAACTCAATTAATCAACAGGCATTTTGTCCATATGACTCCCTCCAGATATCGCCTATAGAGGATGGCGGAAATCATTTTGACCAATAAAATAGTGGGTTTCAGATTGGCCACAAGTTGACAGCGACAAGTTGAAACTTGAAATCAAATATAGCCAATGAAACCTCTCCATTGAACTTGCCACTTTGAAACCCCTGTTGCAGGGGTTTAAGGCGACAAGTTGGCGAGTAACAAACATGGTCCGACGCAGTGAACGACAGCTTACCCTTCAACATGCTATGATGCTTCTCGATACACGCCAGCTCATGCGTATGGAACGAACTGTGTTGAGTGAAAATGACAGCGACGAAGATGACCTTGACAGCCAGCTCATTTGTTGGATCCGATCGATTGAGAACCGACGATACCTGTCCCGCCGGATCAACGATCCCTTCAAAGCACCACGGTTCCACCACTTCTTGTTCGAGACCCGCCGGACACGATTCCGAAAACTGTTCCGGGTCGAGCGTAGCTCGTTTGACCACATTGTGGTCTTGATTCAGGCAGATCCCTCGTTCATGCAGATGTCATCCAGCTCTACCCAACGACCAGTGTCCCATCAACTCCTGGTGTTTCTCTATTTTCTTGGTGCCAATGGCAATGCCGTTTCGAACGAGCACATGTCGTCATTGTTTGGTATTGGTGCTGGCACCATCGCGTTGTACATTCGTCGAGTCATGGACGCCATCGTGAGGCTGCGTGACCAGTTCATCTTGTGGCCAAATCATTCCGAGGCCAGTTCAATCTCGTTGGACATATATGCCATGTGTGGGTTTACCGGTTGCATTGGCTTCATCGACGGCACTCTCTTCCCCTTTGAATTTAAGCCGACGCTGTGTGGTGAAGACTACTACTCCCGTAAAGGATGCTACGCTGTGGCTGCTCAGATCATTTGTGATCACCGTGGTATTATTCGCGACGTTCATGCTGACTGGCCTGGTTCGACCCATGATAATCGTGTGTGGCGCAACAGCAAAATCTGGGTTGGAGAAGTACGGGGGCCCGGGTTCAATCCCGGGTGCGTCATAATTATTTCCATAATTATTTCCAAAATATAGATAATGATTTCAATATAGTATGTAAAGTCGATAAAACTTATTTAAATGTATTGCATTTTTATTCAAATGACTGGCTATGGCTGCTCAATGTTCGCTGCTGGTGCGGGAATCGCCTTCTCAAAGCTTCTTCGAATCTCGGACGCTGAAACGCGATCCCATGCCAAGATCGCCCGCTTGATCATTGCCACCCTCTTCTCCGCGGCTGTAGGTGTATCGAAATCATCGCCATCTTCACCATCGATGATTTCCTCAGCTAACCACTCATCTCGCAGGTAGCGCTTGAATGGTGCCATCACCCCTACGTCCAAGGGTTGACAAACTGACGTCGCATTCGGAGGTAAGGGACACAGCAGACTTCCCAACTCATCGTGAACAATCGTGTAGGACTCGTCAGAGACGTGGGACTCGAAGTTGTCCAGAAGAATGACCGACGGCTCATCGATGGCATCGGCAAGAACAGATCGAAGGTATGCTCTCCACACAGTGTTGTTCATCCATGCCTTCTCCTGAACTGCATAGAAATGACCTCGAGGGTAGGTAGGCAGTTCATTCGATGCAATGCGGCCGCCCGGTGAGCCACGAATTATGAACAGGATCGGAAGCTTGGTGCCATCAGCCTTGACGGTAAGAACCGCAGTCATTCGAAGGGAATGCTTTTCTCCCGTAGCGATCTTTGGCTCACCACCTTTGACTGACCAGATATACTTCGGCGGCATATCGTAGTAGAACCCCGTTTCATCCACGATGTACACGGCATCAGGACCAAACCCATGGTACGCTCGATGGTACATCTCGGTAAACTCATCACGTGTGTCCATCGTCTTGTGCTTGCGTGTGGATGAACGTTGGCGTGTAAATCCATTGCGTATCATGAACCTCTGCAAGAGGCGTAGCAGTGCATCGTATCCAGCTCCAGGCTTCTTTTGGGAGAGGTAGGCACGAAGCCACCCGGGCCCATGTCGCTTGATCCAATTGATGGCGTGGGTCATAGTCAACGCCTGCTCTTGAGCACGCATCTAGTTAACGAAATCAACAAGACTCTCGGGGTCTGGAAAACTTTGCCGTCGTCCACCTGATTCGATCTTCTTTTTCTTCTTGTTTCCGTCGTACGCGAGGATTTCTTCTCGATTCTTAGCCCAGGAGCAAATAGTCTCGCGTGGAATACCAGTAGCTTTAGCCGCATTGGTGGGATTCATGGTGTCTAAGATGCGCAGCATGTTGATTCTGGTTGACATCGCGTACGATCGCTTCGGAGCACGTTGCGTGGATAGCATTTTTGATTTCCAAATGGCTTTGAGTTGCAATTTTTTTGAATTTTATTACGCGAGCGTGAAAGTATTTGTTTCCGCCAATTAGCGTTCGTTATTATTATATTTCATTTGTATTGGTCATTATTAGAGTTGTACTTTTTTTAACTTCGTT